AGACTTGATGTGTTGTATAGATAGTTATTAAGTTTAGAGTATTAGAAAGTTTACGCTAGTGAAGTGATAGTAATATGTCCTGTATAGAGTATAGTACAGGGGTTAGTTATGTAGTGTAATTTAAGGGGTAGAAGTTTAAAGTAGTAGCTGTTTTGAAATGCAGGTAGGATAAAGCTATAGCAAGCAGATAGCGTTAATCGGCAATAGGATTAAGCTTGTGGGCTGCTTGTATATTTAATAATTAAGATTACTATAAAATGTTACACACTACATGGAAGAAATTTCGTACCACCAGACTAGCTAAGATTGGGCATAATTTCCAACAGTACTAGTACATACTTTACGCAGTAATAGGTACCAGTGTCGATGTTAGTTAACTGTATGGGGTGACATTAGGGTGAATTTAACCAGAGATAGGGCTGTGCACTTTAACAGCCAAGGTAATCACCAACCCAACTATACACACAGATAACCAGACCTTATCGCTAATAAGGACTTAATTTGCATGTGGGCTGCATGGTATATTTATTTTGAAGTTTGGGTTTAGGTGTTCCTATGGAAAATGGGTTACATTTCACCATGGGAAGATTATCGATTACAATATATAGTACATAGCTAAGTATTGGGGATAACAGGGTTTCCAAAACAGGTATAGTGGAAGCAATTACTTTAGAGAAGGTGGGATGGTGAAGCTTGTCGCATGTCAGATATTGATTAGAAGTGTTGATGGGGAGGGAGAAGAGTGATTCAACGCTGCGGAGGTCACCAGGCTGTTGCCAACATTTAACACCCCAAAAAAAGTAATCACCAACCACAACTATCCCTACCTACCACAACTAACCACCGCAACCACAATTATCCCTACCGACCATAACTAACCATCACAACCACAACTATCCCTACCTACCACAACTAACCACCGCAACCACAATTATCCCTACCGACCATAACTAACCATCACAACCACAACTACCCCTACCTACCACAACTAACCACCACAACTATCCCTACCTACCACAACTATCCCTATCCACCACAACTAACCACCACAACTATCCCTACCTACAACTAACCACAACTATCTCTACCTACCACAACTAACCACCACAACCACTCATCGTTACCACACTACCATGTCTGCATCATCCCAAGCTGTATGCAACTAATGTGACATTTTATTGTGGCAACGTTTCGCTCACCAGGAGCTTTGTCAAGCCGTTACAGTTACAGCTATGTCGATTTACCTAACATTTTGTTCGTAATTCTTCCATTAGGTCTACTGGGTGACAATATCTGCAACATTCTCCAGGTCTGCAGCACGTCCCCAGATCTTGCAATTTGGTCATCAACCGGGCGAGAACCAACAGCCTGACTGACCCACAAAAAAGAACAACTCAGGTCCATTACATCCACCATAATAACCACTGTCGTCAACCACAATACAGGTTGAATCCTGGTTTATCTCCACTTTCCCCAACCAGACTCGAGGCCAAACGTTGTTGCCGATTGCCTGGTCAACCAGACTGTTGCTGTCAGTGATCTGCAGGCATATATAGCTATCAAAGATTAGCAGACTTTTAACTTGTAGCAAGTATTAATTGGTACCCAAGGATGCCAAAGGCTATCCCTCTGTTTTCAGAGACTTCTGTTTATTTTCAAAGAGCGTCCGCTCCTTGTCTAGGTATATTATCGCAGTCAACCTATGTTTACTATTATCAAAAATATTACTTGTGAATGGGAATAACTATGCGAAGCTTATAAAGCTGCAAGAGTTTCTCACAGATCATTGAGGAATAGCGAGATAGGTAATTACTCAGCACATGAGACTCTGTAATGGACTCCCCCCCCCACACACACACACCAGCACTCGCATCTGAGCAGCCATTCCAGTACTGTACACACACACACACATACACACACACACACATACACACACACACACACACATACACACAACACATACCACACAACACATACACAGTCTCATGGTCCACCGAAATCCAACATCCCCGCCTATTATTTATTTTAGCAGAGGCACTATATTGTCTACCTCGAAAACTTAAGTCCAGTTGAATGTAGATGGTTAGAAAACTGCGTCAAAATACTGTGAAATTTATCACGCAACGGCAAGACCAACTTGTATTCCATTTCCCAACAAAAACAAACTCATTCGCATCCTACTTCCCTTCGTCCTCCCATCTACAGCTGCAACTCTGATTCCTAACAGAGTACACAGCTTCCAGTACAAATTTTCTCTATAATCCTCCACACTTGACCCATAATCACATCTACCCACTTATTTGACCTCCAGATATACAGTTAAAAATAAGATGTCAGAATATAATAAACTATTTCAGTAAAAGAAGCTCGAATCACTGTGCTCAAATGCAGATGGAACATTAAGGTTCTTATGGAGACAAAACTCAGCAAGGTGATATCTGATGCAATATTCCCAACAGCATATCAAAAACTAAGAATAAAGAAAGCAGGGCAGGAGGTTGACTAGCCCTGTGTGACAGAAATGAGTTGAATTTCGAGACATGAGTGGGATAAACGGATAAATAATGATTAGTAAAATAACTAAATTGCAGGGACAGTTATGACCGGACGACCCACATTAGTAACGACTATGATCTATAATCTACCACCAAAAAGCAGAAGACCAACACAAGAATATGAAAACAACAGATCACTAGAAGACTGGTAGAAATACGGACACTATGTTACGTAAAAAGATAACATATACACTAATGTGATATTTTATTGTAACTGCTTGACAAAGCTCCTGGAGAGCGAAACGTTGCCACAATCTCACATTAGTTGCACGTGTGTCCTTTTACTTAACATCAGCAGTCAGTATAGCAAGAGGTTAGGAGAAACACTTATATGACTAGAGCAAAGCTAGTAATCCACACGGGATTACCAACATAAAAAATGACTGGGAAAACTGAAATTCACATAGACGATCAGAGTCATGGAACATTAAGATAACTTAAGATAATTAAAAAAAATGTACTGATGAACAAGACATGTCAAATACTTGTCTATCTTTATTGTCAAAACCTTTCGCCTGCTCAGCAGGCTTCTTCAGTTGAACGTAGAGGTGATTTTAATACTGGAGACAGTGGATGGAACGCGATCATTCGCTTAGCCTAAATCATAGGCTTGAAGATCAGGACATGGAATGACCGAGTTCAATCAAGGCTAAAAGACTGAATATATATCAAGGCTTAAGGACTGAACACCTCAGAAAACTGGAAAAAATGTTAAGGTTCGGAACGAGGCTCGTCTCGTACTTACAAGATGCGGGTTGCAGGTTACAAAACCTAGAGGACAAATGGAAGAAGATAAACTTGGCAACGATGTGAAAAACAGAAATTAACAGGGTGCACAGGGACTAACTGTTCTAGAGGCAGGAAACAGGTACACGAGAGCTCAATTGGAAATAAATACAAATGAATCACAGGGTTGTTAGGAAGTGTTTCTTAAATTCCAGTATGGTCAGGAAGTTGAATGGGTACAAGGAAATGGTAGAGGGAGGTTCTATACACAGCATTCAGAACAGGTACGAATGTCTCCAAGTCAGGAGAGTGAGCCCAGTAGTACCCAGGGTGGGAGGCTAGGCCAGGAGCTTGTTCCAGAAGCAGGGGCTAGACGTTTGCAACCTCAGTTAGAAGAGTACAATTAGGTTAAAAATACATTTAAATATATCCAGTGAACGCTACAATAATACATAATAATACGCAATAATAAGCAATACACTTGCATAACAAAAATAGGTTTCTGAAAAACACTCGGCACTTATATCAAATACATAATTCTTCTGAAAAAATCTCACTCCCACGCTATTGTAGTTATCAAAGTAGAGTGACAGACAGCAGTCGAACATGCTTGGCCATACTTTGGAAAAGACAATCATAGCAGTTCTTAAACACGTCAAAAATACACACGTCCAAACATTAACTCAGACACGCTCAAATTCACCACAAATACAACCGAGCCACGAGCAACAGGGTGGGACAGAAGATACTAGATAATGGAAGGAGGGAGGAATGACTGAGAAAGGGAGGGTTACAGAAAGAATAAACAAGGAGGGTGAAAAAGGAGACGAAGGAATAAGGAACGAAGTGAGCAAGAGAGCGACAAGAAGAAATAATGAGGGAGAATGATGACGCTGCTTCAAAAAGAAAGTTAAAAAATGGGAAATAGAGGAAGGTGTGAGAGAGTGTGCATACTCATCTATTTGAGGTTGCAGGGGTCGATTCATAGCGTGCGTGTGTGTGTGTGTGTGTGTGTGTGTGTTGTGTGTGTGTGTGTGTGTGTGTGTGTGTGTGTGTGTGTGTGTGTGTGTGTGTGTGTGTGTGTGTGTGTGTGGCGAGGTAATACAACTTTTCTCAGGATGAACAACACCTTGTTTACTGCCTTGTCAGGTAAGAATGTATATATACATCCAGTAATACTGCCTAAGAGTTCAGCTCGAGTGCGTAAAGTAAAAGATTTAGCCAACCTGCATGATATTGTTATGACAAATGTCAGAGTTCTGGAAAGAGTATTTTGAGAATATATTTCAACAGAGAGACTCTTGTAAAGGTCATAGATTTCTTGAAAGAATATTTGGAAAATATATTCCAACAGAGATTCTTGTAAAGGTCGATTTTTTGAAAGAATATCTGGAGAATATATACTCAATGGAGGGACTAATGTAAATGGATTCTCGTGGTATATCTATCGCAGGAGAGTGAGAACACTGCATTTACGAATATTAACCCGAATTTAGAAACAGAAGTCGAAGTTTAGAGGCTACAAATCTTCTCATCCCGTGAATCATAACTTAACGAGTTTCTGCTTAACGAGTCCGGGGTTGGGAGTCGGTGGACGAGTCCGGATCCGGTGGACGAGTCCGGATCCGAGAGTCGTAGTGGGCCAATAACCAGCGAGAAGCAGAGGTCCCTCCCTCCCTCCATCACAACTCCCACCTCCACAGTTGGCTGCCACACTCCACCTAGGAAGGTTGTGTTGTGCTACGCTCCCACTCTCTCGATCTCTCTCTCTCTCTTTCTCTCATATACTCCCACAATGTCTCAGTGTTGTGAGGTAGGCGTCGCTCCTGTCAGCTTAACAGTCTGGTGACCGTCGCCTCGGCGCTAAGTGCAAGTCGAGGGAGGAAAAATTCAACTCATTCTGTGTAAACTTGGATAAGTTAGTCAAACATAAGTTCGCTGCGTGCTAAGAACTAGAAACAAAAGGTGCCAATGAAGTTACAGTGGTGATAATCTAGCTTAACTGTGACACACTGAGGATACTCTTCCACCCCACTTGGAGGTCGCCAGTGGATGTTCACCAGTGAGAGGACACACGCTGGAAAATCTACGGTCTCCTCTACCCGCATTTAACTATCTCCGCGATGTGGTTGGATATGCGGGTGGCGTGGGCCCTGTGCTGCGCCGTCAGTCTAGCCACTACTGGTGAGCCATTAAATTAACATTCCTTCTGTCTGCTGAAGAGGGTCTATCGAGTACGAAATAATTATATCTGTTCGATATTTAATATTTCCTTCTTACGTAATTTAACTGATGATCGATATATTATAATTTATATAAAGAGGAAAGCGCTAAACCCGTGTGGGTTATTCAACGTATTGGCCAGTGAAGGCTCGATACTCCGTAATTACGCACATTACAGGAAATGTCGATACACGTTCAGCTGGTATTAATTTGAATTTTTATCGAAGTGTTTTGTGGTGTGTTGAGCTAGTTCTAATGTGTATTGTGTTGAGCTAGTTCTAATGTGTGGTGTGTTGAGCTAGTTCTAATGTGTGGTGTGTTGAGCTAGTTCTAATGTGTGGTGTGTTGAGCTAGTTCTAATGTGTGGTGTGTTGAGCTAGTTCTAATGTGTAGTGTGGTGAGCTAGTTCTAATGTGTGGTGTGGTGAGCTAGTTCTAATGTGTAGTGTGTTGAGCTAGTTCTGTGTAATGTGTTGAGCTAGTTCTAATGTGTAGTGTGTTGAGCTAGTTCTAATGTGTAGTGTGAGCTAGTTCTGTGTAGTGTGTTGAGCTAGTTCTGTGTAGTGTGTTGAGCTAGTTCTAATGTGTAGTGTGTTGAGCTAGTTCTAATGTGTGGTGTGGTGAGCTAGTTCTAATGTGTAGTGTGTTGAGCTAGTTCTGTGTAGTGTGTTGAGCTAGTTCTGTGTAATGTGTTGAGCTAGTTCTAATGTGTAATGTGTTGAGCTAGTTCTGTGTAGTGTGTTGAGCTAGTTCTAATGTGTGGTATTGAGCTAGTTCTAACGTGTGGTATTGAGCTAGTTCTAACGTGTGGTATTGAGCTAGTTCTAACGTGTGGTATTGAGCTAGTTCTAACGTGTGGTATTGAGCTAGTTCTAATGTGTGGTATTGAGCTAGTTCTAACGTGTGGTATTGAGCTAGTTCTAATGTGTGGTATTGAGCTAGTTCTAACGTGTGGTATTGAGCTAGTTCTAATGTGTGGTATTGAGCTAGTTCTAACGTGTGGTATTGAGCTAGTTCTAACGTGTGGTATTGAGCTAGTTCTAACGTGTGGTATTGAGCTAGTTCTAACGTGTGGTATTGAGCTAGTTCTAACGTGTGGTATTGAGCTAGTTCTAACGTGTGGTATTGAGCTAGTTCTAACGTGTGGTATTGAGCTAGTTCTAACGTGTGGTATTGAGCTAGTTCTAATGTGTAGTATGTTGAGATAGTTCTAATGTGTAGTGTGTTGAGCTAGTTCTAATGTGTAGTGTGTTGAGCTAGTTCTGTGTAATGTGTTGAGCTAGTTCTAATGTGTAATGTTGTGAGCTAGTTCTAATGTGTAATGTGGTGAGCTAGTTCTAATGTGTAATGTGTTGAGCTAGTTCTAATGTGTAATGTGTTGAGCTAGTTCTAATGTATGATGTTAAGATAGTTCTAACGTGTGGGATTGAGCTAGTTCTAACGTGTGGTATTGAGCTAGTTCTAACGTGTGGTATTGAGCTAGTTCTAATGTGTGGTATTGAGCTAGTTCTAACGTGTGGTATTGAACTAGTTCTAATTTGTGGTATTGAGCTAGTTCTAACGTGTGGTACTGAGCTAGTTCTAACGTGTGGTATTGAGCTAGCTCTAACGTGTGGTATTGAGCTAGTTCTAACGTGTGGTATTGAGCTAGTTCTAACGTGTGGTATTGAGCTAGTTCTAACGTGTGGTATTGAGCTAGTTCTAATGTGTGGTATTGAGCTAGCTCTAACGTGTGGTATTGAGCTAGTTCTAACGTGTGGTATTGAGCTAGTTCTAACGTGTGGTATTGAGCTAGTTCTAACGTGTGGTATTGAGCTAGTTCTCTGTGGTTTAACTAGTACTAACCCAACAGCTTCAAAATTAACATTTCAATTCCTTATTATTGCACACACAGTTGGTATATTGGTATACAAAGCAGTGGATAACACAGCTATGTTGCATATAGCAATGGTTTATATCGTGTTAATTTTAGCGCAATGGTTTACATTGGAAGGCTTTATACTTTTACGGTTTATAGTGTGATGGTTTATATTGCAATGGGATGGGTTTAAATGTGTTTATTGCTGTGGTTATATATTGTATGGGGTTTATGGGAGAGAACCACATATTGTGATAGTTAACACAGATTTAACATCTGTGCTATACTGTTTTATTCCGTATTGGGTTGAAGGTATATTATGCAAGAATGATCCACTGTTTTCCGATCCTACTGCTAATTTACAAAGCAATTATCATTTGGTTTTAATCGGAGATTTGCAGCGCAGTATATGAGGCGTGATGTTCTCTGACGATAATATTAATCTGTCGAGAAAGTTCTGCTCAAGGGAGACGCTTTGATGTCTCTGAAGATGTCTTGATGGAATAAATCTATCGGTCCCTTAGATTAAACCTGATTGCCTTCCACTGCGTAGATGCTGCATGACCTCCCGTGTGTTTAACACTCTCCCATGGGTGTGATAATGTAATGGGAGGCGCATGAGTTAATGACATAGATCAGGCATGCGTTCCCCAGGGCATTATTAAAAAGTTTTAAATGAAGTGCAGATTGAAGTGGATTATTCTCTCTCTCTCTCTCTCTCTAATACAGCAGATTGGAACTTGCTTTATTGTAATGATCTTTCTAAATTCACACTCAAGTGTATGAGGCGCGGTTCCTCGGCATTACCGTTGATGCTACCCAATGAGACCAACAATTTCCTGGCAAATTTCAAATCCTTTTTTTTTTTAATTGTATCTCAATGTATTGTTTAAGTATTACTGTTTATATTTTTATTATTTTTGTCTGTCTCGTATATATGTTTAACAATTCACAGACAGGCAAAGTTATTTACAATCATCATCTCTCAGTCCACAGCAGGATTCGCGGATGCCGAGTTCGCAGGTTCGAATCCTGCTATTGATAGAGATAATGTTTGTAAATAAAATTAGTCTGCGAATTGTTAAGCATTTCAAATATCTTTCGTAGTTCGCTGCATATGGCAGGATTTGATGAAAAACCTTTGTACAAGTCTGGTGCTCCGGGGTATTAGGGAGTGACCCTTTAGCTTCGACTAGGCGCCCATACTTATCGGGAGTCTGGCTGTGTGACAGAGTCCCACAATTTGCATTAAAGGTGGACCTCATCCTATAATATATTAATATATATATATATATATATATATATATATATATTATATATATATATATATATATATATATACTCAAGGAACAATGTTCCTTGATAATGTGAGTAGTCACGAATGCGCTTGGAATTTCTCTATTCTTTCACAGTGGTTGTTTTGTGTATATATATATATATATATATATATATATATATATATATATATATATATATATATATATATATATATATATATATATATATATATATATATATATATAGGGAGGTACCACCTCTGGAACTGTACAGACACAAAGGAGGAGACAGACACAGAGAGAATGAGAGAGAAAATGAGAGTGATACTTACAGTTACAAACAGATGGAGCACAAGAAGAATGGTGTCAGTGGGTAAGAGAGAAGAGTGAAAGTGAATGAACCCAAGGAGGCAGTTAATGGAGGGTGAGAGTTGTTACTTAAGGGCTGCTGGGCTAGATGGATCACAGGTTTGGTTTACTTTTAAGAATGAAGTAAACTAGAGTGCACAGCCGAGTGTTTTGGTTATAGAATGTTGGGTACCGAAGGAAAAATCATTGATTAATGGATTGATTTCACGAGTGGTAATCAAAAACAATGGCAGCACACCAAGTGGTAACACTGTACAAGAGATATACTATACAAGAGATATACTACACAAGATATATACTATACAAGATATATACTATACAAGATATATACTAGAGATACACTATACAAGATATATTCTAGAGATACACTATACAAGATATATTCTAGAGATACACTATACAAGATATATTCTAGAGATACACTATACAAGATATATACTAGAGATACACTATACAAGATATATTCTAGAGATACACTATACAAGATATATTCTAGAGATACACTATACAAGATATATACTAGAGATATACTATACAAGATATATACTAGAGATATACTATACAAGATATATCCTAGAGATATACTATACAAGATATATACTAGAGATATACTATACAAGATATATACTAGATATATACTATACAAGATATATACTAGATATATACTATAGAAGAGATATACTATACAAGAGATATACTATACAAGAGATATACTATACAAGAGATATACTATACAAGAGATATACTATACAAGAGATATACTATACAAGAGATATACTATACAAGAGATATACTATACAAGATATATACTAGATATATACTATACAAGATATATACTATACAAGAGATATACTATACAAGAGATATACTATACAAGAGATATACTATGCAAGAGATATACTATGCAAGAGATATACTATACAAGAGATATACTATGCAAGAGATATACTATACAAGAGATATACAAGAGATATACAAGAGATATACTATACAAGAGATATACTATACAAGATATATACTATACAAGAGATATACTATACAAGAGATATACTATGCAAGAGATATACTATACAAGAGATATACTATACAAGAGATATACTATACAAGAGATATACTATACAAGAGATATACTATACAAGAGATATACTATACAAGAGATATACTATACAAGAGATATACTATACAAGAGATATACTATACAAGAGATATACTATACAAGAGATATACTATACAAGAGATATACTATACAAGAGATATACTATGCAAGATATATACTATACAAGAGATATACTATGCAAGAGATATACTATACAAGAGATATACAAGAGATATACTATACAAGAGATATACTATACAAGAGATATACTATACAAGAGATATACTATACAAGAGATATACTATGCAAGAGATATACTATGCAAGAGATATACTATACAAGAGATATACTATACAAGAGAT